TAGTTCTGAAGATGGAGAAGTCATAAACATTAGTAATGTTAATAACGTACGATGGACCAATAAAGTTGTTACTATTGGTGTTCCGCTCCTATTCCAGCACACCAGTTGTACACATTGCTGATATCTTTAAAGCAACACCCAGACAATTTTTTGAGCAGTTTATGCCTGTTGATTTTATAATGTCAGTGGTAATTCCATCTACAAATAAGAGTGCGCGTGAATGTGAACGTGGGTGGAGTAATTTAACATGGATGGAATTTATGAGATTTATTGGTATTTTAACGATTATGACATATGTAAAATGTGCTAATATTTGCGATTATTGGTTTATTAAACAAGAAACAGCTGGAGTTTCGCTGGCATTTAGTCAATACATGTCACATCAACGATTTCGAAATATCATAAAATATTTGACATTAACAGATATATCAGCAAATGATGATCCCTTTCATTTTGCACGGCAGTTTCACGATGAATTAACGAAAATCTTACAAAAGCTATCCTACCTGGTCCTTACCTTTGCATGGATGAATCAATGTGCCAATAGATGGGCAAAGTTGATAAAGGTCCATTTCAACGAAAAATACTGAGAAAGCTGCATCCAATTGGATGTGAATTCAAAGCTCTTGTAGATGCTCAAATTAATTTGTTCTTAAGATTAGACCCAGCAGAACCTTCAGAATGTGCTATAAAAAAAAATTTTCAGATCAATACTCAGCAACTGTTGCATCTATGTTAAGATTAGTAGAACCATGGTTTTATAGTGATAGAATAATTATCGCTGATTCGTAGTTTGGTAGCACAGATACATGCATTACTTTATATAACCATGGTCTTTATTCTATTTTACAAATAAAGAAGTGTTGTTATTGGCCTAAGAATATCCCTAGTGATATTATAGATGTACTTGGAGACACATATGGATTATTTGTTAGTCAAATTTCCAAAATAAATAATGTTGATTTAACTGTATGCTCAATTCGTGACTGCAAAGATATTGTACTTCTTGCCAGTTATTCTACGACAATACTCAGAATAGAAGTGAATCGATATATTAAGGATTATGGCAATGCAATATTCTGTCGACCTGTTATATTTGACGAGTATAATGAATTTAGATCAGCCGTAGACATACTTAATAATTTGCGTGATAATTCACTTTCTTACCATGATATTCTTGGATCAAAACGCTCTG